CCCAATTGGAAGATCCCCAAAAATCAAATAGCCCAAAGAGTGAATCAATCAGGCAATGCAGGATAAAGGCCCAAATAGGGAAGCTCATGAACGCGGTAATACCGTCGCCCAAGGTTGCAAGTCGCCCAAGGATGCAGTCGCCCAGTGTGACCCTGCTCTCGTCCAAACATTCGAGTCGCCCAGCATCTTAGCAAACATAAGATGTTATGGTTACCCAAAAATGCAGTTAATAAAGCAGTTATTGGATAGTCCTATCACGTCCCACGATTCAAGGAATTCAATTGAAAACGGTTGAACGACAAAAGTAATGACAGCAGTTAGAGAATGCAGTTTCATGACAAGTTGACCACTACAAGGAAAGTGGGCAGTTATAGAGCAATCAAGCAGTTTTTAAGCGGTTGATCACGAATAGACCATCCAAAGAGTATAAAAGGAAGAAAAGACATAGAGCAAAAGACCCCGAATCAAACACTCTCGAACAGAGAATATGTAACTTTCATTTTCTTAGTTTAGATTTAAACACTTCTTTTACAGTAACTCGTGTGCTTGGGCCCCTTGGAGGCATTCTGTTTTTGTTTTTCAATTGTAAAGTCATCGCCAATAAAAATACCCCTTTTTGGGACTTTGTCTCAAGAGATTTGTCCCCTACACAATCGTCTGATCCCTTTTTAATTGTTAGCGACTAACCCGCGCGAAACAGCTACTCAAAGAAGTTAAATAAATTGTAGAGTTTGAGACTTGCAAGATTTGAAAATGAAGCAAAATTGAGTTGGTCAAGCATGCCGTCGACATTTGCACTAGACAAGTTTATCTCAAAAATTGACTTCCCATGCTGCAAACAATTCCCTTCTTTTTACTTGGATTACTAAGATTTTTGAGGTTCCATGAATCGAGAGAATCATATGAGATGATAAGGTGTTCTTCCACCTTACAAGAGCATTTGCTTTCACTATAACAGATGATTCAACTTGTTGACTCATCTGACAAACATGCATGAGCTGTGAGCTGGTGGGTTGCTCTATACCCGATGAGAACCACTTCCCAAACACGTTGATTACTCAAAAAGATCAAATAAAACAATTGCATTCGACATGAAGGAAAAATATTAAAATTATTTTAGACAAATGAGATATAATTGTCTATAGTTAGCTTGTCTAGAGTTAGAGATCTTGCAATTCAAATTGGGTGATTATATTCCCACCACGTTTTTCAATAAAAAAAAAAAAAACCACATTTAATTTACATTAAAGATTATTAACATTTATTCGTTATTGTACTTATATACTTAACTTTTTTCTTCATCATATTCTTATTTTTAAAATTTCATTAATCAGAAATTTTTTTCATTAATCATGATTTTCGTCGAAAAATATTATTAACATGCTTTAAAATGAGGTTCATATTTAATTGCATTTTTGCAGTATTTTTAGTTTTTTGCTTGTTTAAAAACACAATAGACAAATGAGTTTTCCCCCCCTATCGTATTGTAAAGATAATTTTAAAGAGAAATCATAATTATGAATAATTTTTGTTAATTTGAGAATAAAAATACGATAAAAAAAAGTTTGAGACATAAATGTGATAATTTGTAAAATGTTATGAACTTTTTGTACAATTAAAATGTAGTATAGTTATTAAAAATTATGATGTGAATATATTTAACTATTCAAATTAGAACTACCAATTACATGTCTTGTTTGGATTAATGTCTGGTCAATTTAGTTGATGGCTACAAATTCAACAATTAGTATGAGACATTGATAAATTTTTAAATTATATGTATATATAATATAACGATGATGAAAAAAACTTATTTAGCTTTCTTATAGAAAATTGAATTTTAGCTTATCCAATTTAATTC